TGCACCCAAGCCACAGCCCTCCTCCAGGGCGCCCGGGGCAAACCCACAGACCCGTGCACCGCCACAGGGGCTGCCCCAGGCACGGGGTTTAAGCCCAAACTGGTCCCTGCAGACGTTGCTGCGGGAGCTGCACCCCAGCCCCACAGGCATCCCCCCGACAGCAGAGCTCGGGCGCGAGGCGGGGTGACACCAGCACCCCCCGCCACCGACGGGCTTTGGCGTGAGGAGGCTGCTGAGGTCTCGGCATCCCTACGCCTGCCGGCTTTGCCGGTGAGGACCTCCGGGCACGTTAAGGTAGCTGCGGATCAAGCCTTGCCAGCCACGTTTCTGTCCTCAGCCTCAACACCAACTGCAGAGCGGGCGAGACTGGATTTTGAAAACGCGTGACGGAACGCTAGCTCAGCGCGTACGAGTACAACCGCACACAAACACGCCAGTAACGACGGTCTGTATGCAAAGGATTCGGTCACGAAAATGAACTCATTCATTCAGTTATTTAGTAAACTGGGTGGGAAGGCTGCTAGGAACGTCGGATACCCAGTGGTCAGGTTAGGCACCTGAACCCATGCAAGTGCAACGTTTCCAGCATCGGCACTTCTGCCCATTTAAAGCTCAGCTTCCGCGAGAGCTCCTGTGTTTGGAGACAGCCTTGTGCAAACACTGGCATAAAACAAGCTCCTAGAATTTTTCTGAAAAGCAAGTCAACAGCAGCAAAACGGTTTATGTGCAACGCAGAAAAAAGCTGGAAGAGGGGCTTCATGGGTGCTCCCACCTGAATCGCTTGGGCATTCCTCAGATCTTCCTTGAGCAGCTTTTGTACGTACTACATGCAACGTTAATTAGCTAACGCACACCCCTGTTTGCAGACACAACTACCGTGTCACGTTACGGGTGAGCGGGGGTGTTACACGCACACCGACCGCAGGGACGGTGCTGTGCTGCAGCGGTGGCCCTGGACGCAGCCCTGGCAGTAAGGAGCCCTCGCTTACTCTCAAACTCAGCAAATCCAGGCCATTTGCCTGCTGTGCAATTATTTCCTCTTCTGCAAGAGCCGACTATCGTTACTCCCAGAAAAAAAAACACAGTTCAGCAATGACATAATACTGGATCCTGAGTTTCCCAACACCTCATTTCTATTTTTCTCCCTGTGCTCTCAGCACTGAAAGCTCAGTTAATTAACTCTCTGTCATTTGGACAGGGCTAAACCTTCCCAGGTTTCAAAGCCGCTTTAGTGCCCTCAGCCTTGCTGGGTTTCTGCCACAAACAATACTGCTGGCTCCCCGAGCTACGCTACAAGCAAGCGGAGCAGATGGGAACGGCCGGGTGGTGCGACCCTCCGCCTGACTGGTATCCTGGAAGTTAAATACCATCTATTACGGAGCGCAAAATAAAGCTGACTCTGCAATCTTTCTTAATTGAACTGTTTTTGTGCCAGACAATTACCAATGCAAAAATACTATATTTAAAAGAAATTTTTATTATCTAGAAACCTTATAAATCTATGCAAAACTACTTACAGTGACACCAAAAGCTGTGTCAGTGCTTGGTTCACTCAGCTCCCGACCACTGGCCAAGTTCCCGTAGGACTCGCAGCGATTCACCAACGTTTTGATGAGCCTGTGCCCAGCGCTGCATGAACAAACCTCAGCTCCCACCTGCGCCGACCTCCCGTCCTTACCGAAGCGAGGAGTGCCACTGCCTTCAGGCGAATAAAATCATCCCCACCCCTCTGCCAGCCACAGAAACCCTCATCCTCTGCCTCCTCTCCTCCTTCCTCCTCTCCTTTCTATCCCTGGAGGAAGACAGTCTTTGCTTGAATGGTACAAAACTTCCCATTTTTGCAAAGAATCAGTCTTAAGCAACTTTTGAATGATGCAACTGAATTGTACGCACAGATCTGGATTTTTCTGAAACGTCATCAGCAAATGTGTATGAAAAACAGCATTTCCCTAATAACTCATTAGCTGAAATTGGAAGTGCTGAGTTTCATGCTGTAAAATGTAAGTAACTACGCACCAATATACGCCACGGATTCTCAAATAACTGAAACGCAGCAGGCAGGACTATTCTCTGTTATGTAAATTTAATGTTATACAAACAGATCTGCAGAGCTCTCACTGTAAAAACAGCTGAAACAGTAACATTAGAAAGAGTAAGGGTTCCTACAGGTTTTTTTTCAGCTTTGCGCCTATTAGCTATATTTTGCCTACTTGGAGTCATGCTAACAACTACACTAATGTGTTATGATTAACTCATCATCATTCAAACCCACTTTTAATTTTATTTTGGAGATAACGTCTGCTTCTCATTTCTGCAATTATTAGCAGCAAGCAGGATTCCTATCCCTGCACCTTTGACTTCCCGTAAGAGGAGCTGCACAAAATAAAGGTATCTCAGCAATCCCGGGTACGCTGCATCCCACCCTGCCGTGGTCCGGGGATGCCCAGGTCAGGTCTGGGAGCCCCCCAAAGCCACGTAACGTCACCTCACCCCGCGTCCTCCAGCCGCCCCGTCCTGCGCGTCCGCGCAGAGGGGTCCGACAGTCACAAGGGCAGCATCGCTAGCGAACGAGACCACTATTCGTATAGCTTACAATAAGGCTTCTACACCAGTTTCAAATACTGCTGTCCGTCACCTAGGCAGGATTAATTGTAGTCAACTCTAAGTTTAATCAGCCATAATAGTAAGACGATAAATACAATATACTCTTAATATTTGATCTTGTGTTTTTCCTCTCAGTAACTAATTTATACTTGAAAAAAGATTTTCGGGAAAAAAATATGTTTTTTCAGTATTTATAATACTAGCCTGGAGTGTCTTCAGCTTTAAAAAATTAAGGGCAAGTATGGCAATATCCATAGAAATGTGCTGTGCAGAGACTGTAAATGCCCAGCACAGAAACACTTTATGTTTTTAATACTGTAGATGCAAGAAGACAAGATGTTTGTAAACTGATCTTAGCGCAGACAAGTTCTCTATTGCCACAGGCAAAATCACAGAAGGAGAAATGAGTTCACTTAAAGACAAAGGATGTTCTGCAAAATACAAATATCGTGCAAGGACTTCTCAGTGGAAAAAGAAGAATGAAAGGTTTAGCAAGACCATTGGCTTTAGCTGGCACTACCCCCGAACATTCACCGCTGAAGCAGGGCACACCTGAGAAGAACTGCACTGCCCAGAGCTCTCTGGTTTCGTCTCTCCCAGATCTACCCACATCCACGGGATCCGCTGCAGGAAGCTTCGGCTTTAGCTCCCCCTCTGCACAGGGCAGCCAGCCAGGTTTTGCTCCCAGAGAGCCCTCTAGGAACAGAAACGGGCTTTGCACCTCAAATAACACATTCTGACAAGGTCTAATCATTTACAAAGTTTACGAAGCCGGAGGTTACTCCAGTGACAATCAGTGGAAGTTACAGCATTTACTCTGTATGGAAACAAGGTGCATCAGAACAGCAATAAATAGCCTTCGCTATTCAAACAGGAAAATAACATATATACCCACTGACGTGAGTCCTTGGGGGTTGCTGTACCTTCGGAGTAAGGAACGTGCCCCTAAAGCAACACCTGGAAGCCCCTGCAAGCTCCACGGCTCAGGTAACATCTGCACTCAAAACCACAGTTCGTATCTGATTTCTGCAAATACACCTGAAAAAATATGCTTCAACGGATCCTAACGAACCTCACAGAATGAAATATTTGACTTGACCAGCTCTGTCTCCAGGAGCAATCTTTTCTTCAGGGATTTCTTCTATTCTCCTTCCTATTCTCACTTTATAGTTTCAGTCTGAGCAAAGACACCTCATGAACTGAAAGCTCCCTGATGTTACTTTTGCTTCTGATCATTGTACATGTAAAAAAATTGTAAGTACATTTAAAAAAAAAACCAAAACCAAGAATCCCAGTATCTGATGACCACTGACTCCTATCCTCTCTTCCCCCAGGATGGGGAGTACTGAGAGGGGGTCGGGGCGAGGTGGCAAGACCTGCTGCCCGGTGCCCAGGACAACTCCCCATCATTAGCGCTGCCCACCTTCATCTACCACCTTTAAACTGGGACCGTTTGCAAACTGGAAAGACTTTTGCTACCCTTCAAAAACTCTTCGGGGAAGAGTTACCATTTTAGACTATTCTGGGAAAGGTTACGCTATCACAGTGTTAGCTGACCTGAGAGAAAACTAGACAAGGGAAGAAGAAAATGAGAACAAGAGAAGGGATGTCAGACTGGGGTTTAAGAACCAGAAGAAGAAAATAAGGGTGAAAAGTGGTAGGGACTAGGGTGCGAAGAGCAGGAATAGCACCCATGTATGGATCTGGGATCAGAACCCAATCTGTCCAAGGCAAGGCATCGTTAATTAGTACGAGAGACACCTACAAATCCCCACTGTTCTGTTTGCTAAAAATACGACGAACAATCTAACTTTTCTAATGGATGTCAGTAAGAAAGCTCTTTCACAGCTGTACTGCATGACAATTAGCTGTGGGTTTTTAATATCAGAGTCACTGAATTAATTAACCTTTTCCCACTAAATCTAGAGATTCCAACAAAGGCGGATATTTGACTCAAATACCTAACTTGGGAATTTAACAGTTCCTTTAACTCCCTAGGCAAACAAGCAAGCAGTGATTAACATCTACGAACTAGAAAGAATCAGGCACCCTCTTCGGAGAGCACAGCACCTTCTACCTCCAACTGCATTGGGGTTAATGGTCACAGCGGACGTGATGGCTGAACTCTGTTCATCCCGACTAGCAAGCTTTTATCAGTAAGCTATCCTGATCTTTTCCATAAAAATACTTACACAATAATTCAAATTATACCTAAAGAATAAATTGTATATAAAATAATTCATAGTTTGAAAATGTATGCATTATGATTTTAAATCTGAAAAGCAAAGGTAGGAATTTATCAATGTTGTTATGGAAGATAAATATTTTGAGTAAAACTTTTGTCAATTACATGGATTTTTAATGTAACAAAAAGCAGAATTTGAGTGCAACGGTTATATCACGCACACATGCACACAAACATGTTTTGTATTCTATACCTATTCCATTGATTACAAAGAAAAAATATGAATAAAGACATATTCAATCTACATGAGACTGAAATAATGATACAGAATGGGGAAAGCAACATGGAATAAAAAAAATGAACTCACCAATTTGTTTCTAAATTGCTGATATGGGTTAGGCTTTTGTTTATTTTTATCCCCCCATTTTTTGAATATTCAAGGTGGCAGCAGCTGCCAAAACCATTCTTAACTTAGCTGAAATATGGTACTTTTTCTCTTTGGATGCAGAATTTGTGGTTCTGTTTCTGACACCTCCGGACTGATCTACCGCCGCAGTCTCTTGGACTGCGTTTGATAAGCATTTCGAAATACTAGCTAGCACTGAAAGCAGCCGATGACTTATTAAATGTTGTTTGCTATAGGAAGGCCGTTACAGCCAGGCAGCTCCACGGCTCACTTGCTTTGCCGGTTCCCCTCCCATCAGCTAAAAGGGAAAACGAAACAGGGAGCACCTTCTTCTGACACCAAAGAGACTGAAATGCCTCCACGATGTGGTCAGAAAGGGCACCTGTAAGGCTAAAAGCCGGCACTTTGGTTTGAAGCCAGCACAGTTACACACCCTCAGAGCCGCCTCTTCGCTCTGAAGCACTTGTGCAAGTGATAATCACGGGACACGTGGCACTTGGCATTAACCTGACTCCCTCGCCCACGCTCTGCTCACTAACACCCACCTTACTAGGAGATCCCAAGAATCCCAGGCAATCACCAGCCAAAAGCTGGGGCGGGGGGGAAGGTATTTTTTTGTTTTAATAATTTTAAGAGTCAGTTACATGTCTGATTCTGGATTAACGTTAAGTGCTACTCCATTTCAAGATAAGGAAAGAAGAACTGGGATTTGCATTTCTTTGAAAACTCCCCGTGCCTGTGAATCGGTTCAGCGCAGGAGAGACGGGATGAACGGAGCACAGCGAGTGACACGGTGGGAGCAGCAGCCAGCGCGGCATGAGGCTCTGCAGCTCGTTAGGATCATTAACTCTACCAATTTTAACGCACACCTCAGCTTTAATGAAATAGCTGCTGGCAGACTTCACAGCTGAGTGATAATATTTTAGATCATGAGAAAAACAGTTCTCTCGACTCAAGAGCAGCTTCATCCCCCCTCTGCTAGCGACAGGGTCCGCTCCTGCCCCTGGGGACCCCGCTTGCTCTCCCTGAGATCGTTTCCTGAGAACAAAATCTAAAAAAGTCCAGCCCTTCCCTGACTCCAGGCTTTGAAGGACACGAAGTGACAGATTTTGGCCATTTTCTGGCATAAGGAATTTTGAAAGGCTCTTCTTCGCCCATCCACTGCCTTACCTGGAAGTGTTTCGCACAGCTGTGCTGTGACTGCTGTCCCCTGAGTTGGCTCTCCCTTTATCTGCCTGTTGCGCACAATCGGGGGTATGCAGGACTGGAATTCTGTCCACTTCATCATGGCTCTCAGACAGGTTTGAAACCATTACATCCACTTGTGAAAGCTTTTTTTTTAAAAAACTTTTCATGAAGACCACAGAAGCTATTAGAGCTGAGCAGATAACCCATTGCAAGTAATTTATTCGATTTGTTCTGTTTCGGCTTCATTTAAAATTTTTCTAGAGGTTTTGTTACAGTCCGTGGTTTGAACAATTAAATGAGGGAGGTCAGGAATGATCATGGGAATTCAGGACGTACCCTTAGATCATTTTTGACTCAGTGTGCACAGTCATCAATTTTATTTTCTAGGCAATAAAAGCATGCATTTTAAGTGCAAACCATCATAATGGAATACTTGGGTTCAATGTTCAAAAACGTGTATTTCAGAAATATGTTCTAATATTTGCCTTAAATTATGAAAAACCAGTAACATCTGTGAACACAAGGTCAACAGGCTATTTGAGGAAAACAAACATAGAGGGAACGTAAAGAGCAAGTAATATTTTGAATTACTGAATGTTGAAAAGAAGATACAAATGAGTTTTCTCAGCTCTGATAACTACATTGCAGCTTTAAGAACAGGTCAGATTTTGGTCTTCTCTACCCTGAACAGCGTGCCACAACTATCTGGCATGCATTCTCTGACACTGCAGCAAAATCTTAGGTATTAAGCATTATTATCTACATAAACAAGTACACAGCAGAGTCAAACAGCAGAGTACTCTTGATTCACTCTCCTCACCTCACAGGCAAGGTCCTGTCTCCTTTCCGCCTGTCCATCTCTCTCTGGGGAACCGGATACCAGCGAAAGTTAAGTTTCCAGTTAAACCCTCCGTAAGTCATATCCGATCCAGCCATGTATTCAAACGTGTCATCGCTGATCACATCAATGATTGGGCAGACGACAGTTTTCCTGTAAGAAAAAAATCGGCTGTTTTTAAACGAAATATTTTTTCCTGTTAGTATGCTGAACATTGCACTTATTTTGAGGCTTCTCTGCATAAAACCCCATTTACCACCGCTCTGTGCAGGTCTTCTCCCCCAGGAACGAGGTCGTGCAAAATTCCCCTTCTCTGCTGCCCGCGACTTTTTGGGCACACCGACTCCTCGCTGCGCTCCCGAGAGCTGAAAGCTGCCAACACCCGACCCTGCCCGGCTCCCGCTCCTCTGCCAGATCCTCTCCGAACGGCAGGAGCGACTGCCGCAGGCTTCACCCCAGCAGCACTAACGACGTCGTACTGACAAGTGCCTTACACGACAGAGTTTTCCTGGACACCTTTCTGAGACTGGCAGCGTCAGGACAGACACGACAGGCGCTATTTTTGCTCGTGGCTGCAGGACTCGAGCAGCGGGGTTTTTTTTAATCACGCGTGCATGAGTGTCTCGTGGAGCACCTGCAACGCGTTCCATGAAGGAGAACACATCCCGTCTCCCACGTGTGCACTCAGGCAGGCCGGCGCTGCCCACGCGTGCGCGGCGGCTCCTCCATCGAGCAGGGCAAGGACCTCGGCTGCTGCAACACTGCCGGGGAGGAGAGCACGGCTTTTGGGTCTCACTTGCAGGGCCTTTATGCACTTATGCACAAAAAAGGGGAAAATTGCATCATCTACCGCAATAAAAAAAAAAAAAAAAAAGGGGGGGAAAAAAAAAAAAAAAGGGGGGGAAAAAAAAAAAAAAAGGGGGGGAAAAAAAAAAAAAAAGGGGGGGAAAAAAAAAAAAAAAGGGGGAAAAAAAGAAAAGAAATCAAAAAGAAGAGTGCCAATTTCACAGAGCATTGGAGGTCACGCAGACAAAAATTCATGCCTGGTAAAAAGAAGGGACAAAGGTGGCCATCAGGGTGGGAGACACCTAGACCCTGGGAAAGTAAATGGCACAAGTTGCTATTATTACTGGCATTATTATTCTGACTGTCAACAACAAAAATCCTGCTGTAAGAATCAAAAGCTTATTGTATATTTATTTAGAAATTAGATTTTGACACAAGTATTAGAGAACACTATCTTCCTGATAAATTTGAAAAAAAAAAAAAAAAATCTTCATTTTCAGATCAATGAATTGTTTTCATTTCTATTTTTTAGCAGCACAATGAAACCAAGGAATGGCCTGGAGGCAGGAGGCAGGTCCCCCGCACCGGGACGCGGCTGAGCCACCCTTACCTGTCCTCCTTTATCCTGGCCAGCAGCGGCTCGAGCCAGCCCAGGGTGCACTCGCAGTGCGCGTCCAGGAACGTTATCACCTGCCCTTTAGAGGCTGCAAAAGCGCGCGGATCAGTCCTGACCTCTGCTCCATCCGAATGATTTTTATTGAGACTTCCAGATTTTTCACATAATTCTCTAATGAGGCCTTCAAAAACTCTGCAAAGATAATTGGAAAAAAAAACAGAACAACAACATTATTTTTAGCTAGGTTCAGCAACTCCAAATATAGCCCCGGAGTTTATGCGTCATGCTCGGCTCCCCAAGGACTGCCATGCACGAACACTGCCATAACATGGGAAATGCACTTTGACGTATTTAGAGTTTTTCTGAAGACTGAGAGCTGAGCTATGGAGGTTCACACCGGCACTCTGTTCACTGCAGCCCCACGGAAACCAGCCCATGCACACACACGCACCTGCAGAGCATCTATGAAAACATCACAGAAATTTTAAATGTCGTGATCAGTGTCCTTGAAATAAACCAGCAATCAATACTGAGTGCAAAAGGATTAGACTTTTGCTAATTTGTCTTTGGTTAAATACAAATACAGCTATTTTTGATGAATTTCACCATTTGAGCCCTTCAGGAATCCAAAACTTTGCTTTTAGGTGAAATTGTAGTTACTTGGGCTAAAGTCTTCCTTCACCTTCTGGCACAGAGGAACATACTTGTTTTCTGAAACAGGGAAATCCAGGAGAGTAGAGTTAAGTTAATGCTACATGGGGCAGAAATAAAGGACGGCTTAGCTTGCGCCCTCTGTCTCATGAACAGTTGCAGCTATATGTTGTATTTGCCATTATCTACATTTGGCTACTCCAGGAAAATTTATCAGTCCACTAATTCCATTTATAGAATGTAACGTGATTCCTTTTCCAGGTAATATCAGTTTCATACGCAGACAGTTTTCTTCCTAAACCCTGGGTTTAAAAAAAAAAAAAATTAAAAAAAAAAAAAAAGAGAGAAGAAAAAAGCCAAGACCAAAAGAAATGAACCACAAATATGAGAAATACAAGGAAATTGGCTCAGTTTGGACATTCAGGAACACCTGAAACACAGAACAGGGGGTTTTTGAGAGACAGCAAGAGAGAGACAGAGAGGGATGTGAAAAAGGACTGTCTTTTACAGTAATACGAAATGATAAACCAGAAGTGCAAAAAAGCACTAACGAAATTCTGGATAGGAGCACTGTATATATGACTTACAACCTGATAACCAACCTTTGGCTCTGTTACTACCCGAAAGCGCACTTTAACTCTGCCCGTACCTACTAGAGTCCATTTGCTGCTGGCCCCAGCAGCGATGCGAGACGCTCGGCGAGGGGCGCAGGTCCGGCTCCGCGCCGAGGGAAGGGAGCTGCGCTTCACAACCCTTTCTGCAGGATCCTCAAACGCGGCACCGAAACAACAGGCGGAATGGGACTCCTCTCTCCCAAAACCTACCTCTCTCGCTGGCATCGTCCACCAGGATGATTTCAGAAAGCAGGCGGTGCGGCGAGCGATTGATAACGCTGTAGACGGTCCGAAGCAGAGTACTCCAGGCTTCGTTGTGAAACACAATAACTACGCTTGTGTTGGGCAGTTCGTCGGGGTAGACTTTTGTCTTGCACCTGCCCAAAAATACAGAATAAAAACAGAAGAAAAGGGAGGTTAATCTTTAAGAAAGTCCCTAAAGAGCTCTACCGATGGGACAGCCTGGATAAGGGGCTTCAAGCCCGTTGAGCAGGATACATTTCAAACCGGTTACTGATCTCTTCAAGCTCCCAAGCCAGAAGCCCAGAGGCAATTTCAAATCCTGTTTTCTTGCTAAGAAAACACAGCGAAGTATCCAGAGGAACGCACACCGCTGCGTTCACAGCTCCCTCAGACTCCGATCTCCTCGCTCCCGCTTGGCACGCCGAGAAATCGGCATCCAGCAGCCTCAGCCCCAGCGTGCCCTGGCACGGCAAGCAGAAAACCCTTAGCTGCACACAGGACGTGGGGCAACCAACACAAAGTGTATCGAGCGGTTACACTTAGGTCAAATAAGTCTTTTATTGCGAAAAGTCCCAAATTCTACGGTTTGAAGCGCACACGCCTCCGAGAACTTCCCATCTTTGGTGGTTTCTCAAAAAGAAGAAAAGAATTACTGTTTTCTAGAGCACACTCTATGCCCATGCAACAGAAGAACTAGAGGTCAGTAATTTCACCTATTTTTGGAAAATGTAGAAATTAAGGCAAAGTGAGCAACAGACACCAAACACTGCTGATTTTGTGGAAGCAAATTAAAGCTATTTGCAAAAGACAACCCAAAATTCTGTATATTTGTTGCAGATCTTGGACACATTTCAGAAATACAAACATGCCTACATCAACCTGTCAACACAGGTCAAGTCATGTCACTCAAACACACTTAATATGGATTTTTAACCGTTGTGACTTAAAATCATTTCCACTTTTTTTTTTGCTGTTTTGCTATTGTTTGATTTTCTGGCTCTGCTGTCACCACCGTGACCCCGGTTCAGGAAAGCCCTTCCAGACGGGAGCGGTGAGCGTGCACGTACTTTCTTCAGCAGCCGCACACACACACTAGTGAACTGAACCGCATGTAAAGTGAGAAGAAATTACGTATGCGCTTCTTAGCGCATCTTCTTTGTAATACCACAAATTTGAAGCTTCCCTAAAAAATTCTAAATTAGTGAGTTATTCATTAGCATTTACATACCTTATATTCTCTGACTGTGACACGGGCTCAGCATATCACTTTTGTCTGTGTTATCTGAAAAATCCAGCAGCCCCAGTGCAGCACTTGTTCAGGAGTAGCCTCCTCCTTACAGAAAACTTCTCTATCAAGGGCCAAGAGAATGAATGAATAAGGTCCCTGAAGACAAGTCAGCTTGCCCATACAGTTCCTTTCTTAAACATCATCTACCATAACAAAACTCTCTTTAACCTTTTCTTCTGCCTCACTGACATTTAAAGAAAAATAGATAAAACAACATCGTGACCACAGCTTTCAAAGTACAAGGTGAGGAGAGAATACAGAAGAATGCAGAGTATCACTGATTTCTACGGCACAGGTAAAAGGTTTGTGGTGTACATATATATACACAACGACCTATATATATGTGTGTACGCACATCTACATGTAATATGTGTATATATATACACACATATATATACACATATATATACACACACATATAAGTCATTGGTAACCAGATCTGACAGCAGAAAGTCCGATGCTAATAGTGGCTATACATATATAAAAACATATACAGACACACACCCCAGTCCTGACATCAATTAGATGAGGACCACTGAAGTTTGCTGGTAGCCATTCCACCTTCACAACTTCAGCAATCTAATTAATTGTACAACTATCCATCAATTACAAGTTAGATTCAAGAGTTCAGACAAACAAGTCCTTTACTAGTTATCATCCACAATGACACCCTCTGTTTACCCAGAGGTGTCAAAAGGAGGGTGAGCCCAGCAGGACACTCTGTCCAAAAAAAGACATTTCAAATTTATTTGTTTCCAAGGCACAGTAAAACTTTTCCTCGCACATGTAATTGTTCTTGGAAGGCGTCTCAAGTCAACCCTGGCATCTGTAAGTCGGAGATCAAAGACTGAAAACCAGAAAGGCTGTATTACAAAGCTCAGTGCTGTTTACGTTCAGAGTTGTCTTCCAGAGCTTAACGTCATACTTCAAAGCATATACAAAGCTGTTTTAAAATATTCAGATGCACGTCAGTAGTGAAATGAGACAAAGAAAAAGGTATTTCCTTGTTTGCAGTTTAACACCAATTTTGTAGTGCAAGTGGAGTATTAAGGAACAGAATGTTTATCATCATGTAGTATTTGCCAGGATCTTCGGTGTTTTTACTATTAATCTCATTATTCTCCAAGGTATCTTACGGTATCCAGAGAAGCTAAGGGCTAGAAGAGGTGAGGACACTCATGAAGAGGTCGCGTGTCCTATGTTTTGCAGCAGACAGATCAATCTAAATGATCGTAAATCTGGTCATAAAAATCCATGAACAGCATCTTTACTGCATGTATATGTCCTCCTTCAAAATTTTCACAATGACCCTACATCAGATACTGTACCGTAAAGGAATCCTTCTCTTTTTATTACATTTGTCTCTATCCAGACCAAAAGACTCTGCTGCCCGTCCCTCCTGTGATTTCACAGACAATTTCATGGTGGGATTATCCTCTGCGGAGGAGGATTATTCAATTTCAGATGAGCTCATTCTGTAGATCTGCTACGTATAGTTCCCCAGGTACATCAAGCAACGTATGGGGATTTGTTGATATCGCATCTGCTCATCAGAGACTAAATTAAATCTATTCACTTTGTTTAATTTGGGTCATTTGATTTCAGCAGAAAATGTAAATGCTGGTAGTTTGTCTCTATTATAGCATTAAATCATTGCGTACCCATAGTTTATTAGGCGTTACTGCAGCACTAACCCACCCAGGGGAACGTTTAGTCCAGCCTCGATGGCAAGCTGTGCCCTGTGCTGACCTCCACAACACGCAGAAAACCAGAGAGTCAGAAAAACAGACAGGCACTCCAAGAGGAGCAGCTCCACAACAAATTTTGTCTGCTTTCTGGGAGTTTCTGGAAACCCACTTGCACTAATGGAGAGTTGGTTTGGCAAAACGGAGGCCAAGGGCAAGACGTTAACTAGGCATCAGCACTGTGAACAACGGGCACTCACAGTCCCCGCTCTGACACCAGGAGTGAGGTCTGCTGAGATTTTTAGATATATTTTGGGGTTGTTTATATTTGTGTTTTCGCTATCATACAGGTACAAGTTTTTGAGCTCCCTCTAAAGCCATGAGCACAACATAGATTACGACAACCTGAGTTATTTGGGCAATATGCTGATTCTGGCCACTTTGGCTGCAAGAGAAACACAAACTGTCACAGGACAGCAATACGTTAACCTCACCTTAAAGATGAGTAACATTTCAGGGCAGGAGCTCAAGGCGTATTTCATGTTGCGTTATGTTTTATTTCTTAGAGTATTCCTTCCTTCCTCCCTTGGAAAGTTTTCACCAGAGGAAGACAGTGACTTGAGGACCAAATTTTAAAAAAGCAACTGCTCTGGACTTGGCAAACTCTGCACAGACAAGAAGTCATTAGAGCTTGTTAATTGATGAGTGTGTGTGTAACACAGCTGACTCCTGCACTGATCAGCGGGAAGACTCGAGTCCAGAACCATCAGTCCCATGGCGAAAACATTTATTGCTTGAATTAAACAAAAAACATCCTTAGCTCGTTGACATAACTGTTACACACCTAACACCAGAGAGCTGCCACTTTATTTCCCACCGACGAGGCACAGTGCTCCATTTACCCTTACACACGCACTGCTGTCCTGGGTCCTATTTCGGCATTTCCTAGCAAGCAGCAACAGCACCGCTCCGCGGGGAGCCTGCTGCGTCCAGCTCGTTAGTTAAAGACGACGGAGATGAAGTAAGGAGGCAGCAGGAGATACAGAGACTGAAATACCGACTGGCGTGAGGCTGGGACTGCTCTGGATGCTTTTACCAACGTGCCTTTGCTCTCTGGCGAAAGCGAGACATTGATTAATTTTCACTAAACTCACTCAAAGCAATTTTCATGAGCATTTGATTCACTTTAAAAGTTAAACAACTAAGATCAGTAATAATACAACCATACGCTGGGTGTATAATCACTATTCTTGCTCTTAAAGTAATTCCATTGCCATTTACAAGATGTGCAATGGAAAATAATCACAATCTGTACAAATGTGACTAATTTGTACCCTGCCCCACCCCGCCCCCCTCGTTCCTGGCTGCTACGGCCACGCTCCGAACCCGATGCTCGTGACACCATACACGCGGGCTGATTCACCTCTCCAAGATACCCCCAAGCCCACCTCTCGGCCAGTTTTTCTGCACGGTCAGTGAACGAATGCGGCGCACGGGTGGCCAGGGAGATGCTAGGGATGGTGCAGGACCAGCAGGAGAAGGGCACGGCCGGGAGAGACCCGGCGTACTGAAACCTCCCCTTGCCAGCCACAGCGAGCCAACGGCCGCTCCGCTCCTCTGCTTTCCCTCAACGACTGCAGCAACAAATTCACAGCTTGCCGCTGTAGATCAGCTCTCGCATCCCCACTACGTCCAAGAGCACCCACCCAGGGACCGTCTTCTGGGCTGAGTACCGTGGTGGAGCGCATCCTGCGAGAGGGGTAACGTCTCGGGGACGGGGGCTCTGCAGTGCCCGCGTCCTTCCCCGGGGAAGGCTCAGTGGCCACCGATTCCCGTTCCGCCCTTGCAGCACACCCCTTATGGTGCTTCAGCCCCAAACAGACACCCGCCTAACGCTCTGCTCGCTTGAGAGTGTTTGTAAGCACACGGAAGATAAAAACCTTTCACCTCCCTTTACTGAAATGATGACAGTGACTCACGCTGCATTTTTTCTAATTCAAAAATACACCACGCGCTGAAGAAGCGATAAATAAGTCATCTGCTATTCACACGCTATCAAAGACACGGGCTCCCTCTCCGCCACCCCTGCACTATTTACAATGCATACTGATTGTTCAACGTACACTGACACTGGAAGTACCTTCCCAGAAACACTGGGTTT